GAGAGAGAGAGAGAGAGAGAGAGAGAGAGAGAGAGAGAGAGAGAGAGAGAGAGAGAGAGAGAGAGAGAGAGGTCACTTACCTGTTCGAGTTAGGCCTTTAGCAGGGAAAGGGCTATTGCGGACGACATAAAATTAGCAAGAAGGGTCTTACAAGTTGGCCGTTGGGGGAGGCAGACAACAATAAGAATGAGGAGTTACTATACGGGCTGCAGCCTGGCTGCCTGAACCTGACTGTACTTACGGCCAGAAACAACCATATTTCGATCAAGGAGAATGGTAAGAACTTTAGGAGCTCCGCCAGGGGCACTAACAGGCAAAGACAGTGAGTAAGGGCGAGTGAGCGGGCTRTGGGTGAATGGACTGATTRGCAGCAATGGAGAAGATTATCTGYWGTTGGTGACCTGGCTGAGAACACGGTTGGGCACGAGTAGGAAGTTCACCTACTAACCGCACTACGTATCTTGATGATCAGAGTGGCGTGAAACAAGTAGCAGACCAAGTACTGTCTGACARAGACTGGGCTCGTCTCGTCGGGTTKAGTAGAGTGAGGGGCATGTGAGGCRCCACTACTACTATTGTTGTGATTAATAATTGGTGTCRAAGGATGGGTTGCTGATGTGATTCCGGCAGCAGGTGGTTCGGTTTTCACATTTCAATCGTAGGTAGTGGCGTAGGCTGCGCTGGTGAGGCACGACTGTGTCTTGGGAGTCACGACCGGTGTAGGTTGAATCATGGCCTACCTAGATTACTAAGTCGTGTTATCTGTCGGGCTGGCGGCGCCCAAGGACCAGTGTTGTTGTAAGCGGGTTGTATCTCGGCTGTGAGACCGTTACTGCAGTTTGAACACGATGGCCACGACTTGCTGTTGATCGATGCGGCTGATGGGGTCTTCGCCAAGGACTGCTGCTGCCATCGCCGTGCATTACCATGCTCTGATATGTGCCCATTGTCGGGTTTCGCAGTACAATTGCGGAGTACTAGCTGGGCATGACTGTAAGCTCAGGGGAGAGGTGTATTCCTTGCTTACTAAGCCGTAACGGAAGTTGTGGCCTGGACGGCTGCTGAACAGCGAGTCAGGGCTGTTGCTGAACCCGGGGTTGCTGAGGCTGCGGCAGTGGTCTGCCAATACATTAACTGGGGGCTGTTACGGAGGTAAGGGATGTTGCCGTGCAGGGCACGGCCAGGGCCTATTGTTGTGCAAGGGTCGCTCCTTGCTGAACACTGCTGTGTACTGCTGCTTCTGCTGGGTGCTACAGGCTGTGAGAAAGGGTTGTTGCTGTGTTTACTATGCACAGCTATTGCTTTTGACTATGCACAAACTGCGGCCAACTGATGGGGGCTGCATGCTGCTGCTTACATACTGTTGGTAGCCGCGTACTACTGCATACTGCCGCTGGCTGTTGCCAACTGCTACAGCTTGCTGTGCAGCACCGATTGAGCTAAGGAGGAGTGTTGGGACTCAAAAGGGTGGTTGAGTTAGGAAAGGAGGCCGGTGCTGTGATTTGGGAGGCCGACGGAGGGTTGACTTTTGACAGGATAGCTTCAAGGGTTGACCAAGCTGCTACTACTTGGCCATCATTGCGGGGCCCTCAGGAGATTGAAGGTTTCAAGGCCCTCTCCCGAGGGTTGAGTCCATCCCATCCTTGTATCTCGAGCGTCTGAAACCCCTCCTTCTGCCCTTCTCGGCCTAAGTCTAGTTTATTTGTTCTGAGAGGAAGGCGGGCAGGCAGGATTGCAACCCGTAGGTCCGCGTCAAGGCCTCTGTGGGAGGTTGCCCCACCGATTGCGGGAGCTTTGCCGGAACCCAGACGGGGTTCTGGAGGCAGGGAACACTCAGGTATAACCCTCGATTTACGCGTGCGATCCTATCATTAAAACTGTATTATCATTTTGCTATTGTCTGACTGTAAGTATGACTGAGAAAGCTAATTGTTTGCTTATTTGTTTGATTTCATAACATTGTTTTGCAAAGTAAACTGACAAATATGTATTGAGTTAATTCAGATTATGAGAGTGAATTCTGACAATACAGAATTGTGACCTATGTTGCGGAGGCTGGGCGAACGCATAAGTTGTGGGCTGTTCAGTCTTTCACACTCGTTTGATTTGTTATCAGGCAGGCTAGACTACTCATAAGTTGGGCAGCCTAGTTTTACGCTGTATGTAATTGTATCGGATCGCCAGGCACAACATAAGTTGTTGTGCCTGGTCATATGCCTTTCGTCGTTTGTTTAGGCAGAGGCTAGACTCCTCATAAGTTGAGGTGGCTCAGTCTTTGGGTATGCCGAAAGTTTAGGCTGGCCAGTCTCACCATAAGTTGGTGGGACCCGGTCATACGCCTTATGTCAATTGTCAAGGCAGAAGCTGACCACACCTATGCCGGACCCATGAACGTGAACGGGTCCGGTCACCTGACCGCGAACGGCTGTTCACCGGGTCCGATTCCCGTGAACGACCATTCACGGGGGCTGTTCACGGCCCTTGCGGCCACGTGGCAGCCCGGGTGGTCGGATGAGTGGCGCGGTTGGGGTTGCGTGGGGTCCAACTAGGACCTCGAACCTTAAAATTAGAAAAAAAAAAAAAAAAAAAACCAAGGTGTGTTTGTATTTATAAAAAAAACATAAAAAATATTTGGGGGTTTGTGGTGGTGGGGGGGGGGTGTCGGTGCAGACCCTCGCAGGGTCGCGCCAGAAATATTTTTTTTTTTTTTTTTTGGGTGTCTGTAACCCCCCGCATAGCACCTACTGCACTTACACACGCCACGGCCCTCCCCCTCACCCAAACACCCGACCCAAAACTCCCTCTGCCCCCTATACCCCCGTCTCGGAACACCCCCTCCCCCCAAAACCCCCAAAACCCACAAACTCCCCCCCCCCCTGCCTCGAAACACCCCCTCCCACAAAAGCCAACCCCTCCCCTTGCCCCCCACCCAAACACCCGACCCAAAACCCCCTCTGGTGGGGTGTCGTGGGCGGGGGGTCGGGACAGGGCCCTGGCAGAGACACGCCAGAAAGCACAAAAAAAAAAATTGGGGTGTTGGTAACCCCCCGCATGGCAGCTGTCTCTTATACACATCTAGATGTGTATAAGAGACAGCCCCGCCCCTTACCCCTCGCCCGGCCCAAATCCCCCAGCTTCCAATACCTCGTCCCGACATCAACCACCCAATACCCCCGGCAACATTCCCACATACCCATCAATGCCCTCACTAAGCCAAAGCAACCCCTCCCCCCACATTCCCACACACCCRTCATTCAACCCATGTTACCCCTCCCCCTAAATTCCCGCAAACAMCCCAGGAGGACCCAACTGACCCTCGTCCCCGCCAAAATCACATATAACCATGAAAAATATAAAATTGCAATCATCAAAACACAACTAAGAGTTTGAGACAGTCGAACAAACCGAAATACACTAACACAAAACCGAAAGTGAGAAAAAAAAGTGAATATTGTCAATAAAAGTAATAAAGCAGTGAACATCGTTGTGGAAGCCAGGGTACCCCACAGCACCGTCAAAATCATGAAGAAAAATAACCAAAAAAAACTCAGAAAAAAATAAATAAATAAAAGAAGAAGGACAAATCAAGCTGTAAAATACAAAATGAAGAAAGACATACACGAACATCATCCTTGCGGCAGCGAAGTCCCAGTCTAAGGCACGTTGCACTGCCCATCGTTTGTCTCGTCATCGTCTACAATGTGCTCTCGCCGCCTTTGCGGGACCGCCGCTGCTGTCCCGTCTCTCTCCCCTGAATATGGTGGTGTTGACACGGCGTGACTGTCAACTCCTGTGGCTGCCATCCTCCCGACCACCTGACGCTCTGTCTCTCTCTCTGCACCCTGTGTAGCAATACGTCCCAAAATGCTAGTCAGGGTGTTGTACGTCTTCGTACCCTTATGCATGGGCACCCCATCCGTGTCGGAATCCTCCGTGCGGCCCCCAGCGGCACGCCGACTACCTGGTCCTGTCGCTGTCTGACGCCGCGTCTCCTCCCCAAGTATAACGTTCTCAGTCGACAGACAACCTCCACGACCGCTATCCAATGTGGCCCGATGAGTAACGTCCTCTGCCAATACGGGGGGAAGCCGGACAATGGACGAAGGACGTCTGGACGATCGCCCTCTGGAACGACGCTGCCCATCACGATGTGTCGCCCCTGCTTCAGGCAGTCGTGACGACGGTGCAACCATCGTCCTACCCCATCCCTCGGCGGCACATGATGATTCAGCACCAGGATGCTCCAACCTGTCTCCCTTCTGTACCCAGCCTGCTGCGTCTGCAAACATCTCTGACAACCCCCCGCCACGATCCGTCCTCTCACCCGTAACCCCAGGCATACAATCCTTGAGTTTGTGGGTGACCCTGTTGATCCCGCTCCACGATACGGACTTCCCCTTCATCTTCGATAAAGGCGAAGGAGAACCCTGCACATGGTCGCGCCCTCCCCCACCAACACTCCCACCTGAAAGGCCTGACCGTCCGCCGATAACGGTGCGGACACCTTCCCCACCAACAACACTGCCACCAGACTCGCCTCCTCGTCCACTCACCGCCCCTGTGCACGTCGGTCGTGTCCCCGCAGGAACTGAACCTGCTGAGCCTTCTCCACATGACACCCCTCCCGGCTCGATAACCCTCTGACCTGTCAATTGCTCGAACAGGTCGGCCATCTCCATAGACCTCCCAATATCCCCCGATAACCCCGAAGGTGCTGCCAGACTAACAGGCACGAAAGAAGATGAAGGCACAGCCTTCCAAAGCCGCTCAGATATATGCCTGCTCCTGCCCACCACCGGATCAATCCCGACACTGTGGCGCTCGAGTGTGGACATGCCGGACGCGCGTGCGTCAATGGCAGCAGCGAGAACTACCCCATCCATCTGTCGCTCGTCCTGAATACAACCTCTAACCACATCATCCATCGCGACAGGACCATCCTGAGTGTGATCTGCTACCCTGCTACCATCAACTGCGGCAACGTCATGAAGTATTGTATCCACCTGCCCCTCAACCTCAGTGGGATCGCTCCCAAGCAACCCTCCTACATCCGTAGTGGCCACACCGTCCGCCCCTATCCCACCGTCCGCCCCTGTCACACCGTCCTCAGTGGCCACGTCGTTCGCAGTGGCAACACCGTCCGCAGTGGCCACACCGTCTGCAGTGGCAACACCGTCCGCCCCTGTCACACCATCCGCAGTGACGTCGTCGCCACCTGTCTGATCCAACGCAGGGGTGAAGACGTTCTCCTCGTCCTCGTGTCCCTCCACGCGGACTCCTCCACCATCTCCATCACCCACAGGACCACCGTGTGTACACTCTCGTGCTACTCTGGCAGCAGTGACCTCCTCCACTGTACACCCCATCTCCCTCGCCCTGGCCGTGTCCTGCTCCAACGCAAGCCGCTGCATCATGACACAGCCTGCTACCATCAACCTCAACCGCTCCTCCTCAAGTGCGTCCACAGGCTCCATGTCTAGCCGTCTGGCAACACCTCGAACCGGCGACAGAGGCATATAGCCGTCGTCGTCGCCACGTCTGCTCTCCTCTCTCTCGCCTATCGGTCTAACAGACTTTGCCAACATCCCCGAACTTGCTCCACCAAAAACCACCGCTATGTGGTGCGCCACATCGCTCACCGGTGTCCAAACGCGCACCCCGCCGTGCCTCGCCTCCGACGTGGGAGTACTGCCGACGTCGAAGTCTGTCCTGAATATGACCGAGGGAATCGATCCCTCTGGCACAGCCAAACCAAATCCTTGCTCGCCGCCATGCTCTCTGCTCACTGCGCAGGTGCCAGTACGAAGAAAGGAATCAGTGACTGGCTGGCTGTCAAATGCCCCACCACCGTCTCCGTGGTCGAACCCATGCTAGTCTGCAGGTCCGGGGTGCTCTCCATCCCCCATATAATCGTCGTCGTCCCCCTCGTCATCAGCAGCATCTCCATCGTCACCTCTGTCATCCTCGCTCGAAGATCGTACAATCTGTGACTGGTTGTGGCCTCTCGCCGCCATGCTCTCTGCTCTCGTCAACGGACGGGTAAGGCGATCGACCTCACAATGGATCTGCCGATCGCGTGACCGCATATCACTGCCGGCCACATGATCACTCTCCTCACCGGAGTCCTCACCGGCGTCAGGTGCATCACTGCCTCCCTACTCCAAGTCCTCCGGGTCCGTCCACGGCTCTGCCTCCATCTCATCCGCGGCCTGCGGATCCGTGGGCGGATCGTACTCGATCTCGTCGTCGTACAACTCGATATGAGCCGCACGACGACCGAAAACAGTCTGAACCGAAGGGGGGTGGTGGACCGTCGAGGCACGCTGCATCTTGCACGCCTGCCGTCTGATCTCGTCATCCGTCAGTGATCCCGATGGTAGAGTGCCTGATCTGCGCGGCTCTCGGACGTCATCCAACCCCTCCTCGAGATCACCCCACGGCAAAACAAGTCCCCTCCTCCTCGCTCTACACGTCAGGAGCTTCTTGTTGGCGCACATCTCCACCATGTCTGTCAGCTTCTTGAAGTCCAACCCATTGCGGCGCTTCTCGTGAATACGCTCATGCAGCGCCTAGTTCCTCTCCGGAGGAGAGGCGCTGACCCATGTGTACATCAGACGCGTGGCGATGGTGCAAAGCTCAGGGGCACACCCGCCGTGTAAAACCCACCGATCAGCAATGGCCTGTGTCTCGTCCGGCCCCTCGCACGTGTCCTCGTCCCCAGTACCTGCATCTCCACCCCAATCATACATCGGACTGCGCCTGTGGAAGTCGTACAGCTGATGGCGGACCAACCTATACATCTGTCCCTGCCGGTCAAAGCCCGTCTGCGTGTGTATGTACTCGAGTGTCATCTCCGCCACTTTCTTCTTTTGATCGCTGCGCCTCGGAGACTGGAAGTAAACGAAGTCCTGCCTCTTCGGATTTAGAAGATGGGCGGCAGCATGGGCGGGCTCCAACAGATGGCATGCCCGAGCGTAACAATCCTGTAGCATGCCAACCAGGCGAGGTCTTGCCAACTCCAACTTTCGAATCTCCTCAGCCAACTGGGTCACCACCGGAAGATGCACGCGATTACCAAACCCCCCTCGTCCAACATCCTCAACAACTGCATGACAGGGGTGAAGACGTCGATGAGATCATCCATCTCCTCCCAAAACAACCCGCATCGCACCTGCGTGCGGACCCAACCAGCCTGTGAGAGTAGCCTCCTCTCCCATGGAAGTCGTGCCCAATCGCCCTCCAACATCATCGTCTCAAGTGCAACCCTCCGGTCGTGCAACCTGTCCATCATGATATACATAGATGCGAATCGAGTCTGGCAAGGGTACAACAACTCTCGCCCCCGTCGTGGCTTGCCTGTCGTCTCCCCTCCATCAGGGTCGTGATCAGTCCTGGCGCTGTACTTCCTGAACAAGGCGAGAGCTGACCCGTGAGATCTGATGAATCGTACAACCACCCTCGACCTCGTCAGCAACTCGATAGCCCATTTCTTGTCCTTGACCATGTCTGACAACATTAAGTTGCAGCAATGGACAAAACAAGGGAGCCAAGGGATACGACGGATATCTAGATCGGGATCGTTTTGAAGCGCTCGACCAGCGACGACATAAAATGATGCCGAGTCCGTGCAGATCGCGTTCACCTTCTTCACGCTGAGCTTTTCGAACACCTTCTTCCACCGCCGTAAGACCACGTCTGCCGTCTCTGCGTCAACCGCGTCCCTGCGCACGGTCGTGTAAAGGAATGTGCCCGATTGTCCAGCGGCGAGGAAGTTGACAATGGGCTCAGAGTTGAGAGACTTCCTCCCATCCGTGAGGATGGTAGCCCCCGTGTGCTCCATCTGGTCGCGTATGTCACGTAGCTTATCAACTATGTGCGCACGCTCCTCCTCTATGCCACTGCCTGCAATGCGCTTGAACTAGGGCAAAGCAGGCTTCATGCCCCCGGGCATTTTCAGTAGACGCTGTGAGAGGGCCCTGTACTCAGCCATCCTAGCCCTCTCAAATGGGACACCGCCAATATACCACCACTGCAGGAACAAATGGTCGAAGGTGGCCTGCCACTCCGGATCATACACCTGGTCCATCCTGACCTGCTTCATGCGTTTCTGCTCCAGAACGCTTGCTGCAAGATTACTGTCTGCCCTCCGCTTCCCATAGCCATCCATAGCCGCATGTGACATCGTCTGATGAGTTCTGCGTCCCGCCTTCACTGCCCCCCCTGCAGGGATGCTCCTAAGTCCTGCACATCGTCCTCATCGCCGACCCCCTCTGCTCCCTCGCCATGTGGCCCACAGCAAGCACGCCCCACACCTGTGCCCACCTCATCGTCCTCGTCGTCCCGCTCTCCTCCCTCTATGTCCGCTTCATCCTTGTCCAAAACATTATGTACCTCGTCGTCCTCCGCCCCTTCAACTCCTACTTCTCTCCTATTCGCGATGCCACGGTACTCCATGTAATCCCGCACCTGTCTCTCTCGCCGCTGGTTGAAAGGGTACTCTGTCCAATTCCAAATGTCGACAAGTATCTCAGGTGTCACCCTCGGGCACCTCCCCTTCGTGAAGTGCTCGCCCCCCCGCATCTGACTGCCCTGAAAAGGGGGTTTATCGCAAAAATTGCACTTCATCTTGAAGTTGCCCTTGCAACTCTCTAGCGTAAGACCCTTCGTAAGGTACTTGTAAATACAACACCGGCCAATTGCCTCACGCTGCTCCTCGCTGACGGGCTTGAAGGGCTCCTTAGAGCCCTCGCCTTCCCCCTTTCTCTTCCTCCTAGCCATTTTGGCATCCGGCACGGGCGTCAAGACCACGTACCGCTGCCACGGGCACCCCAAATCCTGGTCCCACACCCGGCGAGGTGGCCAAGTCATCCCCCGGGTCACCCCCCCCCCCCAAGCACGTCCCTCACCCCCACCCACCCACCCACCCTCAAATGTCGTCTGACCTCTGATCACAGCCCATTACATCCGTCTGTTGCTCATCCCCCTCAAATATCGTCCGCCGCTCACCGCTGCTCCATCTCAGCATGCCCCTGAAATGCCACAGGTGTGGGGTCGCGCAGCTGCGGGGTTGTCAGTCCTTGCCGGGCCGTGTTCACGCAGGCCGTTCACGTAGCCCGTTCGCATGGATGAACGGCCGCGCGCCTTCGTTCACCGGTGTGAACGGCCGTTCACACTCGTGAATGACAGTGAACGTGTGTTCACGCGCGCGGCCGTCGGGCCTCCTGCGCCTCCCTCTCTCTCTCTCTCTCTCTCTCTCTCTCTCTCTCTCTCTCTCTCTCTCTCT